AGGAGCATGATGGGAAGTTTGTTTCCTGCCCATAGAAGAGGAGCATGATGGGAAGTTTGTTGCCCACCCGTAGAAGAGGAGCATGATGGGAGGGAGGCTTGCTACCTGCCACAAGGAACCACAGCATCACTGGGGAGAACAAACATCTGAAGAACATCCTGTGATGAGCTCTTGAGCATGTGGACCCTGATTTCAGGGGCAAATACAAAACAGCCACTGTTTTCCACTTCTCTCCTTCTCTCTCTAGGGCCCGCTACCTGGCGTCTGTCCCAGCCTCCCAGTGTGTGCCCTTTCTGATCAGCCTGGGGAAGACTCGGTTGGACTCCTTGGTATTAGATTCCCACAAAAAGAATTCAGTCCTCAGGAAAGTGCAGCAGTGCCTGGTAAGGAAACTCTTCCTGGGTGACACTTTCACTGGTGTCCTTTCCCCACTGGGTGTCTATGGGGAGCCCTTAAGGGGATATCTGGATGGGATCTGGAGACTGCTGTTATGGCAGGAAATCTGACTTGTGAGTGTCAGGGCTATCCCTGAAGCTGCTGGTTGGAACAATCTTGGCCTTTGGTTCTGGAGCCTCCAGTCCCCGGGCCTGAAGGAGGCGAGCCTGCTCTGGAGGACTGGAAAGAACAAGTTTGCAGGGTCTGGGTTCTAGACATGCCTCTGCCAGTGATTGGTTATGTGGCTTTGGGCAACTCACTTCCCCTCCCTGAGCCTCAGTCTCCTCATCTGTGAGGTGGGTGTGTGATAGCACATCCCTCAGAGAGTTATTGAGAACATGAAATGGGCAATGTATTGATTAATGCAAAGGCTGAAGGGCCAGATGGTCTGGGTGTGAATCTTTATCTCTAAAAAGTGGGTAATTTTAGTCGTTACCTCTCACAGTTACTTCGAAGATGAGTGGATTAAGACTTGCAGACACTTAGAATAGTACCTGGCACATAGTACACACCCAATAAATGTTAGCTATTTTTTGTCATTTTGAGAAAGAGCTTTGAAGACTTTCAAGTGCCATATGAACTTTGAAGTGCTGTTTTTATTGCTATTGTGCTGCTATAATGGTTGTTGAACTCTGGAGGATCCTCAAAGCAATAACAGTGATGGCAGCAGTGCTCATTTACCGAGTGCTCATGGTGTGCCACGCTGGGGTTTCCCAGCCTTCTGTGAGGTAAGATCAGGCCCCGCTTCACCTCTAGTAGTCCATGGCAGGGTAGGCGATTCTGATCCTCGAACCTTTAAGAGGTTTGGGGCTGGGAAGTGTTTTTAAGGGATCTTGATCTCGAGCCCTACTGGGTCTTCCTGTCAGCTCCACTTGTTGGTTTCAGGACAGTTCCATTGTTGATGAGTACACTGTGGACATCGTGGGGAATCTGCTGTGCCAGCTGCCAGTGACTTTCATCGATAGAGGGATCTCCCCCAGGGCCTGGGCTGCTGCTCTGCACCGCCTCAGTGGCTGTCCAGACCTCAGCCCTGAGCAGAAGGCCTTGGTGAGACTCAGGCTCCTGGAACAGTACGGGTGAGGAGGGGCTGGGGTGTGGCTTTGGGGGGTGTGGTGTGCTGGGCAAAG